CACCATAGTTTACGATTGGGAGGAGAGGATGGTTAGGATCAGCAGGGGAAGAAGCAGTATCTCTAAGAGAGACCCGATTTCAATTGAAGTACAAAGGTGGAAATAGTATTCTGAGAAGAGCTGATGGGTGCCGAAGGGCTGGTTTTCCTGGAAACAAAGTTGCCAGAGGTACAGTGGAAAACTCCGGGGGCCAGAAACAGTGAACGATGGCTGCCAAGGGGAATAAGGACAGGGAAGAGAATTTGGGCAGGAATTTACCTTTTGGCAGAGATCAAAGAAGTCAAGGATATGAGACACAGTCGCTGAAGCTGACTCAAAGATTCCAGAGGATGCCGATGTAGTCTGTATAGGTCTGCATGCAACTTAGATTGTGCAGTGAGCTCTAACAGGTAGGCAGCGGATGAATGTGGCCGTGGGGAATAAAGTCTGTTGGTGCCGAGGCCTGGTGCTCTGGTCTAATGAGGTATCAGGACAGAATGTTGAGATACCCTATTAACATTTCTATGAGTGAGACTGGGATGCTGTTCAAAAAGGAAGGCAGGGTAGTCTGTTGTCTGTTCTGGGGCGGTCCCTGACGCTCTTTCCTCTAAGTGCTCATGGGCTGCCTCTTAAAAGATGAAGTGCAGGTATTTTCCCTTGGATTTGACATTTTGAGCTGTATGTGAGTCACTGTTCGTTATCTAGACAGCACTGGGTGTGTTTTTCCTTTTTCCCCAAGTATGCTCTAAAATGACATTTTCTTCATTAACTTTGACTTTCACAATTTGTGATTTTCTCTTTCTCCAAGAATTTTCTTTTACATTTCTTGCATGTATTCGGAATCTGCATTTTGTTTTACTTCTTCAGCTTATGTCAGTGAATAAATTTTTCCCAATTTACGAGTCACTTTTTTTCTTACACTTACTCCCAGTTCCACTAGTTTGAATTTCTCTTTCATCTGTGATGCTTATAAATCACTTTGAGACTCTTTTATGTCATCTTTGTCTTTCTAATTATAATGGAACAAGAGTTCTCTTGACTTTTTTTGTTTATGCTGTAATCTAATGGAATATTACTTTGATGTTGTGGAGTCGATATAGAGGGTGCAGCAATAAGTGGGTAAAATAAACATGTATAATGAATGAGAACTCCTCCAGCAAATAAGAAAGTAATGATGTCCTTGTGTGTGAATGAATGAACATAATAAAAAGTACATTGAGTAAAAAAATATTTCTTCCTCTTTATTATTTATTTATTTAAATTTTAAATTTTATTTTTAAAATATATTTTATTGATTATGTTATTACAGTTGTCCCATTTCCCCCTTCATTCCCCTCCACCCTGCACACCCGCTCCCTCCCACATTCCCCCCTTTAGTTCATGTCCATGTGTCTTAAGTTATTTAGCTTTTACATTTCCCATACTATTCTTGCCCTCCCCATGTCTATTTTCTGCCTGCCATCTATGCTACTTATTTTCTGTACCTTTCCCCTTTTCTCCTCCTCCCACTCTTCTGTTGCTAACCCTCCATGTGATCTCCATTTCTGTGGTTCTGTTCCTGTTCTAATTGTTTCCTTAGTTTGTTTTTATTTCAGGTATGGTTGTTAGTAATTGTGAGTTTGCTGTCATTTTAGTATACATGTTTTTTATTTTCTTTTTCTTAGATAAGTCCCTTTAACATTTCATAAAATAAGGGCTTGCTGATGATGAACTCCTTGAATTTGACCTTATCTGAGAAGCACTTTATCTGTCCTTCCATTCTAAATGAAAACTTTCCTGGATAGAGCAATCTTGGATGTAGGTCTTTGGATTTCATGACTTGGAATACTTCTTTCCAGCCCCTTCTTGCCTGGAAGGTCTCTTTTGAGAAATCAGCTGACAGTCTGATGGGAACTCCTTTGTAGGTGACTTTCCCCTTATCTCTTGCTCCTTCTAGAATTCTCTCCTTCATTTTAATCTTGGCTAATGTAATTATGATGTGCCTTGGTGTGTTCCTCTTTGGGTCCAACTTCTTTGGGACTCTCTGAGCTTCCTGGATTTCCTGGAAGTCTATTTCCTTTGCCAGACTGGGGAAGTTCTCCTTTATTCTTTGTTCAAATAAGTTTTCCACTTGTTGCTCTTCCTCTTCTCCTTCTGGTACCCTTATAATTCGGATGTTGGAACATTTAAAGATGTCCTGGAGGTTCCTAAGCCTCTCCTCATTTTTTCGAATTCTTGTTTCTTAATTCTGTTCTGGTTGAATATTTCTTTTTTCCTTCTGATCCACTTCATTGATTTGCGTCCCATTTTCCTTCCCATCACTATTGGTTCCCTGTGCATTTTCCTTCATTTCACTTAGTTTAGCCTTCATATGTTCATCTAATTTGTGACTAAAATCAACCAGTTCTGTGAGCATCCTGATCACTAGTGTTTCAAACTGTGCATCTGATAGGTTGGCTATCTCTTTGTCACTTAGAAGTATTGGCTCTGTGGCTTTGAGCAGTTTTTCTGCTTGAGCCATAATGTTTTGGTCTGTTCACACCTGTTATGTATGAGGGGTGGAGGCTTAGGTGTTCACCAGGGCGGGGCAAGCCAGTCACTGGGTTGTGACACTGTATATGGGGGTGGAGTCTGAGAGGGAAAAAAGTGGCGCTTTGCTCCACTGTCTGTTGCACCTCAGTCCCTTCCGCTGCTTTTCTGGTGCTGATTCCCAGGTGTGTGGGCTTGTGTGCATTCTAGGACCCTGTGGGTCTTTCCAACAAACATTCCTGTGAGGTTGGGAGTCTCTCTCTGTGCCTCAACCCCCACAAGTGTTTTCAATCTGTGTTTTGAGGCTTTATTTCCTGGCGCTAGGACCCTGGGTTGTGCAATCTGTCTTGCTCCCCAGTTATCTGCGTGTGAAGGTGGGACCACTGCCTAGTCAGCCAGCCACCTTGAGCATGGTGCCCTGCTTCTTAATCGCTACTTAATCACTGGGTCTGCCCGTTGCCACCCCACGCCCAGGGTCTGCCTGGTGCCGCCTGGAGCGCCCTCAGGGTGCCTTGCGTGCCAGGTGTCACCCACGTCCTGTGCCTCAACCTCCCAACTCCGCCCCTCCTACTGGTCTGGATGAATGTGTCTATTTTAACTCCTTGGTTGTCAGACTTCCATACAGTTCAACTTTCTGTCAGTTCTGGTTGCTACTTTGTTTCTGAATTGTCCTTATTTTGGTTGTTCGAGGAGGCACAGTGTGTCTACCTGCGCCTCCACCTTGGCAGGAAGTCCCCTTTCTTCCTTTTTTAAATGCTCAAGCAAGGATTTGAATACCAGATGCAACTTCACTAAATACATGTAAATGACCTTTTGACATAGGAATGTTTGGACTCTGGCTCCCATACGTAAGAAAAATTGAATAAGACCTTCTAATTTCACTTCTGGAATTCCAGGGACATGATACAATCTTGGAGACATATTTTGCATGGGAAGATCATAATTAAATTTGCTGAGCCAAATATTCAAAGGCTTGTCTGAAAGGTGCCACTGAACCCCAGGCAGGTGAAAATGAATAGTTAGGAGACTGTTACCCTGGGGTTAACCACTTGGGGATTAAGTTCTGCATGCGGTGCCTTATTAGAGCCGGGAGAGTAATTATTCATTTCCTGTAAGACTGGAATTCTTGATAGCATTCATTAACTCTCAGATGGATTCTTTTTTTGTAAAGAAAAAAACGAGAAAGCTAGAATTTACTTTAAACTTAAATTATCTAAAACAAAACAACATTTATAAATAGTACGAATGTAAGCATTCTTTGCAATTCCTGTTTTCATGTCTGCTCCTTGTCAATAGGTAAGGACTAACTTGCTAGTTGTAACAGGGGACTTCCGACCACCCCCATATTACTGCTTGTTTGCTGGGCATTGCTTGGTTGCTGGTCGGAGGACTTTTAAGGAAGATGGGCAAGTATCAAGTAGCAACTTCCAAAATTAGCTATTAAAACAACAAAAAATTATTTAACATCTTATGCCATTATTCTGGTTTATGTGACTTTTAATGTTCAGGAATTTTTGTTTTAAAAGATTATGGCAATGCTTTTCAACTTTAATCTGCAAGGACAGAAGTTGAAAGGGCATTTCTCTATTTAAAAACACGGTGTGCTGTTCCATGATACTGTGCTCCCAGTTGAGACATTTTGTTCTTGAGGTGAAGTTTAGCGTGTGTCTAGCTGGGCTCCCCCACCCCCAGTGGGAGTTTGTTATAGCACAGCGGTGCTTAGTGATTTGCATGCACTTGGGTTGAACAATAAAAATTATTTACTCTTAGCTAATCTGGTTTGCTAATTGCTCTCTGGTGTTGAAGCCATTGGATTCTGCCAGGTGGGAGAGAGGAATGGAGAGCAAAAACGTGTACGAGGCCATGTAAGGGAGCATAAGAGAGTGGGAGATGTCAGGGACCGAAAGGGAGGGAGGTCAGTGTGACAGCAAGAGGGTGAGGAGGTGAGCGGCAGAGGGTATGGGAAGGAGAAGGATGGGGACAGGGAGTTGGGGAGAGAGAGAAAGACAGACAGGCACAGAGAATGAATGTGCAAAGACAAAGACAAGCTGAGGAAGGAGGATAGGGAGAGAGAAATGGGAGGTAGGGAGTCGAATCTGAGGAGGTCTTGTGTTCAGTGGGGCCCCTGGGTAACTGCCAGAATTCGTTCTGATGAGTTCTCATGGAGCAAATGTAAGTTTGTTGTGTGCTGGTTAAGGAATGGAAAATCATTTCGGAGACAAGCAGCAAATTTACCCCTGTGGGTTAAAATTTCTTTATTTCCATTTAGTCCATGCTCTCAGATCCTGAACTTGGGTCCTGAGCTGTGTTAATCATTACTTAATATTAATATGGAAATGAGTTTACCCTGTTGCAAGTCCCAGTTTCAATCAGAAAGTAATTATGAAAATTAGTCTTACAGATGCTGTGCAAGGGTGTTGCTTTCCAGGCAATAATTAAACCTCTTAGCCCTCTCTGGGTGGTTGATTTTTTTCTTCTTAAGTAGTTTATTTTCCTATGCTTACTTTCTGCAGGTGAGAAAAGATGGCGAGTTCCTGCTGACTGAGGGATTCATCAGTTGAGGTGGGTAAGTTTCCATCAAGAGAAGACAGTGAATGGAATGTTTTAGAGCTGAAGACAAAGAAAAAGATCAGCTGCTTTCCTCTGATCTGAAGCAAAGATGATTATTTTTTAAGTGGGACTAGAACCTTTGAAATTCCAGTTATTTTCATAGGAGTCTTTCTGAGCCAGATCTCCATCCTCAGTGGGAGCCAGCCAGACATGCTGCCTGGCTGTTCTAGTTCTAGTTTCTGATAATGAGTAAACAGGTGCTCAACAGCAGCAGCACATGATAATAATAATTATTATCTCATTTATAAAGTGCTGTGGGGGCTGTGCACTGCTAAGAAAGTGGAGCCTGGAAGGCGTGTGGGCGCGCTGCTCCAGGCATCCGGTCCTCCTTCCGCTCCCACCTCCTCACCACCCGCCCCCCTGCCCTGCCACTGGAGGGAGCCTCTCCCACTAGCAGAGCAGGCAAAGCCACTTCGAAAGCCCTTGAAATATGAAGGCGTCCAGGACATGGTATAGATATAGGAACTGTTCTTCAACTTTAATCTGCAAAAGTTGCAGTCTCAACAGGATGTTAGAGAAGAGTTTCCCTTTTGTGCAAACCGTACACAGGAACTCACAGTGGAGGGAAGTAGGTTTGCCAGATGAAATACATAGCACCCAGTTACACTGGGATTTCAGGTAAGCAATGAATAAAACATTAGTTGTTGTTTATCTGAAATTCAAATGGAACTGAGCCTCCCGCATTTTTATTTGCTAAAGTGGCAAGCCAGGTTGCACCACCCCCTGTGGGGAGCACCAGACCCTGGCAGTTTCAGCTGGGCCGCGATGGGCCTGCATTCCCACGGCTGTGCCGCGTTCCCTGGACCTTCCTCCAGAAGGTAGTGTCAATGCAACTGGGAATCATTGCAAAAGGAGGAGGCAGAGTTTTCAGACTAGATATCATCAGAGAGTTATACAAGTTAGAGTAGGCAATGCAATAAGCCTCTTAAATAAATAAATTAGGTTGTTTTACTGACTTTGGGAAAAGTAAATGGCTATTGATCTATCAGTGAGAAATACAAGGATGTTTGAATCTACACATCAGCAGTTTGGGGCTATTCCGTCACGTCATCATGTATCCCACATGGTTTCCAATGCACAGACACAAGATTTAGTTAATGGTGAAATCGCAGGGAGTATAATTTTTAGAAGTCATTGGGTCAAATATTGCACTTTTGATGGCATTGAGGCTCAAAATCTTGCAACATTTTGATTGCAAGTTTAAAGATCTTGCAAATAAAAATAGCAAATAATTGCTTACTTGTTATAACTTTTCCTTTTGTTCACTTTTCGAGGGAGTTAGCATGGAACGATGGAAATCCTAGGAGTTAGGTGACCCGGCGGCAGTGCTCTCCCTGAATTATTTCCTCTGTGAATGGTATCCATGTGGGTACATTTTGAGTTTCATTGTGAATTCCTGACACTTAAATTTTCTGAGGCTACCTTACCTTTCATGTTCTCAAACTGATTTGGATCCGCGCGGTCCAAATCTGTTTGTCCTGTGTGAGTTGTGTAGGGCATGACTGTGGAAATGTAAGATGGGTTTGATTTTTGCATTTGCTTCTGTAAGTTAAGCTTATCTACTGTACGAGTACTTTGGGACCTGGGTGGATACAGGTACGGATATATGGTTAGCATGCTGCTTTAACAGTAGAAAGTTAAGACAAATGCGGGGTGATGGGAGGCGGGCACACTGCCCTCTCCTGCACTTTCACAAGTCTCCTGAATGCTTTTCCCACACACCGAACCGTCACTACAATGATCAGGGGCTTTGCGTGCCTCCAGAATTCCTGACCAGTGGCCAAAGCAATCGCGTAAGTAAATTGTTTCCTGATGTCCATTGACCATTAATGTCCCCCGCATACAGCTGGTTACGAGCTGAATTTTTGAAGGTGTGCTGCCTATACTTGAGCGAAATCTGTAAGAAAGCTTTGCTGCTGTGGTCCACAGGACTAGGGAGGGCAGGCAAAGCCCTTCAGAGGGACAGAAGCTCTTCTCTTACATCCGTTTCTTCAGAGACCAGAGTGGGTGTCTGAGCCACAGGATGACTTTCTCATGGCAGCATCTCAGGAGTGCCAGCAGGAAGCAATCCGTGTTGCTAGATCCTGCCAAGCTTGGAACCCAGTATAACTCTAAAACTTTTGAATACCATATCTCTGAATAATGAAGTGCATCCTGATGATGAGGGTGGAGCCAGCCCGCTCCCAGCCTTCCGTGAATTCTCCAAAGCCCTGTGACCAGGAGCAATGCCTAGTTCATGATTGAATGTCTTCTTTTATGGTGTCTGATCTTTAGGAATACAAGTCTTAGACCTAAGGGCTTATAAAACCTTATTTCCCAAAGACTGAAAGGACAACTAGCCCTCAAGGTTAGACCACGCCCCATTGCCCAGCCTTAGTTTAGACTTCCTGTAAGTCTGTTGGCATAGCAGTGTCACATTTAATAGTGGGCGGCCAGGGGCTTTGGCTGGAAGTTATTCCCGAGACTCACGCAGGCTGCACAGTGCTGTTCTCAGCGGCAGTGGTCCCTCCAGTGTTCCAGGGCTGCTCTGAATGAGCAGTTTGTAACCATTATGTTCTGCCTGAGGAATTTCACACTTTCCTTCTAAAGAGAACCATTTATTCAAACTTACTTCCGGGTGAGGGCTATTATTGAGGACTGCTGGGGAGGGACAAGGAGTGGTGGAGTATGTGGCCGTCTAACCTGGGTCACACCGCATTTTGAAGTCATCATCAAGTTATAGCCCCTTTGCTTTGAGCCCAGGTGTGACTCCAGAATGCCACTCAGCTCAGTACTCAGGCAGTCATTTCTGATCATGTGGCGTCGACACATGCGCTGATGCCAGTTTGCCACTTCTGGTTTAGATAGGTTATTTTCTCCAATTTCCTCTAGAAGTTTGTATTCAAAAGTGGTGGGTCACCCCTAGGTCCCCCTGCCCTGTCACGAATGGGCAGCGGGTCCTTGTACCGAACTAGAGGACCTTGTAGAGGCTTCCACTCAAAGAGGGGTAACAGGCCAATGTGTCCTCTTTTTGGAAAGTCCAGTTCCTCCCCACTACGCTCTCCTACAGGCTGTATGAACCAAGCCTGTCTTATTTATACAGACTTTTATATGGTGGCTTTGTGTAAGCCATTGTAAAAGCCAAAATGAATCCTTCTTTGAACTTAGTAACATTTGAGAATTATCCTTTCAAGATTGCCATGTAGATTGGGCTGTGAATTAGCCAGAATTTGAAGTACCAAGAACAGAACATATAAAAATCTGCTTCCTGTCTGTGCTAATACAAACCCCGACCCCTCTTGCCACCCAGCTCTTTGTGGAACTTTAAATCAGCATCTTGTTGCTTGAACCAGCGCTTGTCAGAGTTCTGATCTTGCAGACAGAGCTGTGTGTTGAGTTAGAACCCATTTGCTTAGAGCCCTTTGTCCTCAGGTGTGCTGCTTTCCATGTTACCTTGGCTTGATGTTCTTTAGTGTGTGCCTTTGGCAAAAGGGGCATACCTCTGAACCTGACTAATTCCTCAGTTATTAAATATCAACAGGACTGGAAGGAAGCATCCACCTCAGGGTGGGGTGTGTCTCTGCCAGGGCCAGCCTCAGCTGTAGCAGGGCGGGGACGGGCCAGCAGTGGTGAGCTAACACCAGAGGACACCCGGGACCCTCAGGGGGACTGTCAGTGCTTCCTTCTTCTCCAGTGCATGACCCTGTGGGAGTGCCCCCGAGCCACCGCACAGCCCAAAGGCTAGAAGTTAAAAAGGAGTTGGGACGGGGGTGGGGTGGAACACCACGCAGAGCCCTACAAAGTCAGCCACTGAATTATGCATTTGGCAATAATTAGTGGGAATGACAAGGCTTAGGTAATGCTTGGCGAGCCATCAAGGATAGTTGTGTCTCTTGTTCACAGCACAGGGGCACCAAGCCAAAGGGTAGAGTGGGGCCGGAATCCAACCTGTTGTCTGCCTGGCAGAAGGCGACATTGGCCCGGAGAAAGGGAGGCCTTTTTCAAATGCCTGTACAGACACTGTCCTGTCACCAAGCCCTGCGCACACATAGCGCTCATATTCCCAGAGTGGGCTCCTTTTTTAATTTTCACAAAGGTGCCATGGGGGTTGGGAGGGGCCCTCATACTTCTCCCAAGTCCTTGAGGTAGGTCACACTTTCATTCGAACTCAGATCCACGGTGGCCTCCTGGCTCAGGAGATGGGCTCTCAGAGATTGGGAAGGGCAGGAGCTACCATGCCCCAGACGAGCTCAGGATTCGTATGGCACCCCATGGAAGGAGTTTTCCCCTTTCAACTCTCTGTCAGTCCTTCTCATTAGTCAAGACAAAAGTATCGGTTTGTTAAGAGAGAGTGCTAGGGGTGCCTTTGTTAGCCACACCAGCCCCAAAGCGGAGCTGGACTCAGACCCCTAGGTTTCTGCAGGGAATGATTGTACACATTCGGTGACATCTTTAGTGTTCATTGTATGTGTGTTTGGAATTACCTTCTGCCTTTGCCAAGGAATAGTGATTTTTTATTCAAAGAAGTGAAGTACCATTTAAAATACAATTATATAAAAGAAATGAGTTGATTTCCTCATTGTTTTAGTCAAATCCAAGTTGTCACTGGCTTGGATTGCATTTAGAAAACACTGATTTATTGTAAAGGGACCAAATGTAAAATGGAATTATGACGTTGTTTGAAGAAGAGAGGCCTGTGTCACAGTAGTACAGGTGTCTGATAACATCTGCCGAGAAGAGAGTAAGAAGAAACACTTGCACAGTAGTTGGGGGGACTTGGGTCTGAGTGTACATGTCTGTGCTTGTGTCCCTGGGTTTGTGTGTCCCTGTTCCATGGAAGGAAGCTGAGAAGTTGTGGACTCTCCGTGTTCCTGAGGGTGGGACTAGAAGATGTAGGAGTGACTGGAGCTGTTTAGAAGTCAAGCAGTTGTCTCCACATATTTTTTTTCTGTAGGGAAGAAATGGCTGGACCAAAGC